CGAAGGCCCGGCCACTTTTCTCCGGGTTTCCCGGGTACAGCTTGTTTGCGAACACGTCGTAGTCGTGGGTGGAACTTTCAATCTCTCCATTGCTGCGTCGGCCCCAACCCTCCCGATTAAAGATTGTGGTACCGTTATTTTAGACCAGTCAATTGGTTCCCGTCGTCGATCCTGCGTGTGTAGGGTCCGGCATCAATACAGAACGTAGATGACGGGGGGGGCGGATCTTAACGTGTTGTCAATCGTACGTTCAGCATCTCAAAATGGTGCGGCAGCAGAGCACCGCGTGCTTGAGCGGGGGGGGGGCAGGTGGGGGAATGGTGCCCAAAACACAAGGGTGTAGGCGGAAGCGACAATCACGCCAGAAGCAAGAAGCGTGGGTGGCAACGGAGAAAAGACGAGAGCAACCCATCATATCTAGCAGATACTGAGCAGGGCGTCCCCTACAATATGCGTGTTGAGAGCACCTTTTGGCAGCTAGGCCTGACAAGCGGACACTGCGCCTGACAAGTGGACACTGCGATCTACGTTCCCTAATCCAACAAGGGCAGCATCCCCGTAACCTCACGTGCAAATCCAGTGACCAATGTCAACAGAGTACAGGGGAGTCAACTTTGGACACGAAGCGATAGGCGATTCACAGTTGACGCACGTTACCGGCTTCCTTCTCTTCGTACCCGAAAGTGGTCCCATTGCAGGGGGTAACATGCTCTTTTGCAGTTGGTGGAAGGGGTACCTTTGGCCCCGCAACCCCTTGTCTGTATCACAACCTCCTCCGCCATTTCTCTCCACGCGTTCGCGAGCAACGAACTCTCCTTGATCTCGTGCCAACGCGAATACACTGGACCAATCTCCATTCCTTCCCTCGACATTGACGTTTTGCCTTCCGCGCATGTTTCATGTACATCGTTTCCGTCCTCTAGCCCTCCGTGGGAAACTCTCAGAGCAGCGCGATCCTTCAGATTATCATCAGGTTGGCAAGGCCCATCGGCGTCCTTGGCGGAAGAAGCGTAAAACTCAGGATTCCTCCCGCTGGAAGGGAGCTCTGTCTGCTGCCTGTGGAGACCGTTCGAACCAGCACTTCTGCGTCTATCTCGTAGCATTAGTCGGTCACGCGGCATGTTGTCAACGACTTGGACCGCCCGCGATGATCAAGCCCCTGCCGCAACCACAATAAAGGCAAGGGACAGTAACGATACGCTCGGTCACTACCGAGTGTTGCCTTGAGGGTTTCAAAATATTTCCACGGGAGAACGGCCTCTGAAGCATAGCTACCGTCATACCCGATCCCAGTATACGATGACCATTTATTGCAACATTCACACGGCGGCGACCCTGCCTTTGATGCGTGAGTACGCTGTGGCTCTGCTGCCACTCGAGACAAGAGTGCCGAGAACCGGGAGACGAGTGCGAGGAGCTTAGAGGCGCGCAGAGAAAGCTGGCGGGATACCCGCCTATACCTCTCGAGGAGTTTTTCTGAGAGAAATAATTTTCAATGCTTGCATTTCCGCAGCAAAAGGGTGGTCAGCTCCTATTAGACCGCCGGCGGCAGCATGCCAATGCCTTCGAGAGTGTAGAGATGGAGTACGAGTGTCATTTCATCTTGTCGTAGGCACCCTCGAAAGAAACTGCGAGCACCACACAAACAGGGAGTGGCAGGGGGCGACGAGAGGGAGACCAAGAACACGATGATGTGCCACTAAAATCGACTAACCCGATGAATCAACGCGGAATAGCGCTAACGAGATTGTCCGCATGATAATGTTGAAAGAATCGCTGGAATCCGGATTGCTCTTGTGCAAATCAGGATAGCCTCCATCGCTCCTGTTGTTGCTGTTGCTGCTGCTACTTGCTTACTTCTTCCCTACGGGTCAAGAGAACCGTGCTGTGTTCGTGAACTACTAGAACTTGTCGATGCTTGCGGAAGGACCACGAAGCTCCACACAGGACAGAAATCCAAAATCCAGATTCGGAGCTCGGTCACAAGAGGGGTTGAAACGTCCAATAGCAGTAGTAGTAGTTGTAATACAGTATTTAGTGCTCACGGCGACTTCGGAATGCAGTTGTTGTTGTTGTCTTCACAATAAAAACCGTTCCGGTCTCCGCTCAGCACTTCTCGTGTCCGTATTGGTCCAACTGATGCGGACGCTTGCCATGGTCATATGTCAACTACTGTGCCCAAAGACGGCAACCTCGAAAAAAAAAATTAGCTCTACTGGCGACGACACTGTAGACAACTGTACATAGACGAGACATGGATTGTCAACGTGTGGTTGAGGGTTCGAGCGCAGAGCCGTCCGAGTACACTCGCGGAGGGAAGGAGCTGCTGCACGCTTCTCACGACTGCGTCAGAAGGCAAACATCAGGCGGAAGGTAGGCTCTGTGTAACCCTGGCTGGTGCGTCAAACATGTACCGAAAGGTGGTGTTTTTCTTAGACTGGCGCCCAGAACGATGTGATGAACATATGTAAAACGGATCCGATTTTTGAATTGAAGCCCCAACACACGCAGTTGAGAGGCTCACATGCCAACCCTTTGCAGGCGAGATGCCATGTCCTGACTGAAGGACCTTGTTGGCACTGCGGAGCAACGCGCCAATCACTATTTGATACCATACCGTAGGAACTGCTGAGGTGACAAACTGTTGTCGACACGAAAGATAGACTAAGACATCCCGTAGTCTGCGTACGCCAATATCCAAGACTGACCAACTGATTTTCTTGTAGCTCCCCGACCTTCCTGGTTGGCTCCTTCCGCTCTCCTTCTCTTTATCCATCATACGCCTCACCCCCTTTCTCTCTCTCTTTCTCTCCCCCTCCCCCCTCTCTCTCCTTCTCTCTCCCTCTCTTTGTAGATCTATGCATGCCGGTAAGGAGCAGTGGACCATGTCCGATTCGCAACATTTTTTTTGCGGCGAAATAGCGACCGGTTGGATGTTCCGTGGTTCAGGTTCAGCAGTTCAGCAGCTTGGATCCTTGGATGCTTGGGTCTTGGATCTTGTGTTCAAAGAATACACACGATCCAAACATCCAAGGGCTGCTGAAGTATTTGACGTAAGCATTATTAGCGATTGATCTGCCGTATGCATACAAATAGAATTTGCGAATGGTACTTTGAATAACCATCATTCATTGTTCCTCCGTTTCGAAACTGTTTCGAACCAATGTTTCTCGGTTGTCACTCGCGACGTGGTTGATTGACATCGCCGTGGGTGACATGATACACTCGTCTACACCCCCTGGACCAATTTTCTTGACTACGCCGCCACAAAGAGGACGCCAAAATCAATGGAATGTTTTCGGAAGCTCTGGACGAGACGGTTCCAATGCCGCAGTCTCTGCGCCGCCACGCTCCCTTGGAGCATTCGACCTTCGAAAATCGGGCCAGGGTGGGTGACATCTAATGTCATCTACGGTGCTACTTGTGTTTCACGCCGCGCACGCGCGATGGGTTGAGTACCGGGATATCAGATTGGAGAGAGAGGGGGACAAGATGTTTCCCGAACTGGCGATCATTTCCCTCTAGAGTTGTATTAACTTGTGTTGAAAATACCGCGCACTTCGTCTCCCGGAGAAACGAGACGTTTGCCGCACCCACAACGTTTTCGTTCGAATTTCGAAATGGACTGCGAGAGAGGAATCACCCACTGCTGTTTCGAGGGGCCGTTACTTGGAGTTTCACTACTAGTTGGTTTCGGGTGTTTGGGTTCCAACTGCCACAGGGTGTGTACACCGTCCGGGTCGTTTTCAGCTCCTCTGGCCCCTTTACAGCATGTAGGAACTTCCGCCCACGTCCAGCAAGAAAATAGTACCAGTGGAGGTTACGCTTTCGCAGGCGCAAACCTGGCCGTCATCGCGTTAGCCTCGAAGCACCGTTGGTTGGTTCAAACGCAGGACGGCAAAAGATTAAAAACAAAAAAAATGCTGCGAAAGTAGGGAATCGTCCTCGACGAAAAACGTTGGGAAATGGGACCTTTACATAGGTCGCCCCCACGCTTGACTTCCAACCATCATTTTTTCCGAGCCTCCTCTCTTGTTTGCTGCTAACTTCTATAAGAGGGGTTCACTCGACCGGCTGTCGGCGAGCCCATTTACTTCTGGGTGCACTACGTTATCAGAAACTCTACAAGCTCGAAATTGTTGGGGGGGGGGGGGGGGGGGGTTTCCCCCCTCCCCCCA